GGGTTCTAGCAATTCTCCTGCCTCAGCCTCTCGAGTAGCTGGGATAACTGGCACCCAACACCACACCTGGCTAATTTTTGTATTTTTTAGTAGAGACAGGGTTTCACCATGTTGGCCAGGCTGGTCCTGAACTCCTGACCTCAGGTAATCCACCTGCCTCAGCCTCCCAAAGTGCTGGGATTACAGGCATGAGCCACCACGCCCGGCCCACATTTCTCTCTTTCGTTCATTTTTTTGACAGGATCTCACTCTGTTGCCCAGGCCGGAGTGCAGTAGCATGATCTCAGCTCACTGCGACCTCCGCCTCCCAGGTTCAAGCAATTCTCCTGTCTCAGCCTCCTGAGTAGCTGAGATTACAAGTGCGTGCCACCACACCTGGCTAATTTTTCCTTTTTTTTTCTGTAGAGACGGGTGTTTCACCATGTTGGCCAGGCTGGTCTTGAACTCCTGACCTCAAGCAATTCATCTGCCTCTGCCTCCCAAAGTGCTGGGAATACAGGTGTGAGCCAGTGCCCGGCCTGTTTCCAATTTTCCATGTCACAAACATTGCTGCTGAGAACATTCTTACACATGTATCCCTGGGTATATGTGGCCAAGGTTCTTTGGCATTTCTGCATGCCGAGGAGTTGAGCTGTAGCATATGCTAATCTTCTTCTGGACTAGATATTGCCAAATCGCTCTAGGTGGTTGATGTGCCAATTTACTCCCCCACCACAGACACGGTCTGCAACTCCACATCCTTACTAACCCGGGTATTGTCAGATTTTTAAAGGCTTGCCAGTCTGGTGGGTGTGAAATGGGCTCTCCTTGTTTGTTTGTTTGTTTTTAGTTTGCATTTCCCAGTTAAGGGTGAGGAAGGTTTCTCAATCACTCGCGTTCCATGCTGCGCTGGAGGGGTGTGTGTGTGGGAGGGAAGCTTACCTTCCCACAGGCGCACGATCGTGGTCCTGCAGAGGTCCTGTCCTAGGGCGCACTCTTCCACCCGGCAATCCCCATTGCTCTTACACTGCATGCACCGCAGGCCCCAAGAGGCTGGGGGAAGGAGGGAGAGGAGAGGAGAGGAGAGGAGAGGTTAACTTCGCTTAGCTCCAAGACCGCCCCTGCATGTCCCAATACCAACACCAAGTCTCTAGGCCCCGTCCATTCTGATTCGTGTTCCATGTTCTGCTGGGTTCCGGCCGGCGGTACTTCCAGTCTGTCCTTTGTCCACGTTCTACCTCCATCCCCCTAACTGAACGTTCTATCCCTGCCCACAAGTCCTTTCCCAAAGTCCTGTCCTGGCCTGTTTTTCCTTTCATTCTGTCCTCGTGAGGCGTATATCCTGACAGTCCTATCCCCGCCCTCTCTGTCTATCAGTACGTTCTATTCCTGCTCCCATTAGGCCCTTCTCACCGCGCCGGCCCTCGGTCGATCACGCCTCTCCAGTTCCACTAGGGGAGTTCTAGCCTCGCCCCACCCCTGTCTATCTTTATGTTATACCGCCACTCCTAGTGCCCTAATGGAACTATCCCTCCACTCACTCCCCCTGGTTCTACCCGGCTCCAGAGCCTCTCCCCGCCCACTAGTTTATTCCCAAATTGTGGCCCGGGCCATCAGCCCTCCCGAGTTTCTATCGTCAGATACTCTAGTTTCCCGCGAAGTTCTGTCTCCGCCCTTCAGCTCCCCAACTAGGTTTTGGCCCCGCCCTAGACTCCTCCTCGAGGTTCTAGCCCCGCCCTCTAGCTCTTCCTGACCTAATCTCGCCCCCTGGCTTCTCCCGATGCCATAACCCCGCCCCTAGCTCCTCCTCGAGGCTCTAGTCCTGTCCTCTAGCTCCTCCTTGTGGTTCTAATTTTGCCCTTTAGCTTTCCCCGAGGCTCTCCCCGCCGCTAGTTCTTCCCTGAGGTCATAACTCCACCCCAGTCCCTCCTTGAGGTTTCAGCCCCACCCTGTACTCCTCCCCGAGGTCGTAACCCCGCCCCTTGGCCCCTTGAGGTCCTAACTCAGCCCCGTAGGTCCTCCGCAAGCTTATAACCCCGCCCCTAGCTCCTCCTTGATGTTCCAGCCCCGCCCTCTAGCTCCTCCCCGATGTTATAATCCTATCCCTTAAGATTCTAGTCCCGCCTTCCAGCTCCTCCCCGAGGTTATAAGTCCGCCCTCTAGTTACTCCTCGAGGTTATAACCCCGCCCTCTGGCTCCGCCTCGAGGTTCTAGCCCCGCCCCTAGCTCATCCTCGGGGCTATAACCTCTCCCCAAGCTCTTCCTTGAGGTTCCAGCCCCGCCCTCTGGCTCCTCCCCGACACTCTCTCCCCGCCCCAGGCTCCTCCCCGAGATTGTAGCCCAGTCCCTAGGCCGGGTCCCGGACCTCCGGGCCTTCCCCGACATCCCTTTCCAGCTGTGCGTTCAGAGTATCCCGGAGTTGTTACTCATTCCAGGCCTCCCGCGGTCTCGAGCGCTTTCCGGGTTATTCATTGCGGCCGCAACACCCCGTGGCCACCCGCCCTGACTCAGTTCCTTCTCAAATTCCTCTTGTTTCTCTACCCAGTGCCCCCCACATTTTCCGGGGAAGTAGGTGAGAGTCGCCTCAGTGAGAGGGAAAGGTCCTGAGGGACAGTCCCGGGTCTCCAGCACTGGCTCTGCACCGCTCAGTCAGCCTCCCTTTGCCCTTTTGTAAAAGGGAGTCCTGTCCCCTCGTTTCTCGGAGGGGGAGACCTGGCAGCATGGAGAGCGCTGGGGGGCGCTGCGGGGTCAGATCCTGCTTATTCGAGCACTGGCTGTGTGATTTTAGGCCAGTTGTCTAACCTCTCTGTGCCCCAGTTTCCTCTGCGAAACGAAATTAATAATAGTCCCATTTTATA